GGGGGGGGGGGGGGGGGGGGGGGGGGGGGGAGTTTTTGAGGATAACTTTGGAGGGATGGGATTTAGGGGAAATTCTAAAAAGAGATTTTTGTCGGTAATTTTCTGGAGTGAAAAAACGGTTTTCTGATGTTTTTTGATTGAGGTGTTTGTTTCAGAAATAATGAAAAAATTAAAGGTTTTGCTTTTTTTTCACTCATTTTTTGAGTTTTTGGATTTGCTTGTGCTAGAGGAAAGGGTCGAGAGTGTTTTTTTTGTAGAAAATTCAATTTTTCACTTTAACATTCTCTATTAAATTCACTTATTATCGAGGTAATCCGGTAATAATTGATTGGCATTATATAATATTGCTAAAGAAAGTGTCGACACCATTTTGTCAATATCTCTGCAACTAGTAGATTCGAAAAAAAATATCACGAGTTTATTTTTTTTAGATGATTGAATTCTCTGCAAAAAAAATGTTCTGTTATTGAAAAAAAATATCCCCTCATTACGAAGATAATTAACTGATTAACAAACATTCAAATTTGCTAAATTATTACAAAAATATGAAGAAACAAAAGATGAAAACGAGGTTCAATTTACATAAAAAGCTTAAGGGGAGACTACTATGAGTTTTAAAAGTCGTGGGTTATTGGAGTGAGAGATTTTATACGTTGAAGATCGATATAGATCTGAAAACGAATAATTAGTGCAAAAAAAATTGTTTTTATTGTTCGTCTGCCCGAAAACGTTTAAAATGCTGAAAACAGTCCAGGGCCTCCAATTTTTGAGCTACAAAAGACAGCTGATTTCGTTTTTTTTCATGTAAAAAATTCACTATTTGTGCAAAAAAAAATACAAAAAAAGCAAATTTAGCCATGTAATAGGCGGATTAAGAAAAAAAAGCTCGTAATTGTTATTCCCCATATTTTTCCGAAAATTTTGAAAAAAAAACATCCTTCGTAGCTCAAAAATTGGAGGCCCTGGACTGTTTTTGGCATTTTAAGTGTTTTCGGGCAAACGAACAATAAAAAAATATTTTTTGCACTAATTATTCGTTTTCAGATCTTAATAATCGATCTTCAACGTATGAAAAGTCTCACTCGAATAACCCACGACTTTTAAAACTCATAGTAGTCTCCCTTTAAAAGCTCTAGTACAGACAATTTGGATAAATGAATTAATTTCATTGAAACAAAGTTCACTTGACATTAATTTTTTTCATTTCGTTTATTCTAGGGCTGGAACAGCTGGAAGTGACTACTCCCTTCCAGAGAGACGTGTGGGTTCTCTCCACTACAAACGACGCATTGTCCACCAGACGTCAACCCTCTCCGAGGACATAAAACACCACTACAACAGCAGCAGCGAGAGCATAGGCTCACTGCGTTCTAAATCCCATTCTAAATCGAAAGTCAAAGGTTTGAACAACATTCAGCCACTATGTGGGAATGCTGTTATCATTCCTGAAGTCACGAGGGAGTTGCGTATGATGCAACGACCGATAAATGGTCAGCGTTTTGGTGATGACAGACTCGTCCTGGTGTCCTCCAAACGCGTGCCCTTCCTCATTTTCTCCGCATTACCTTACAACAAGAATCAACGGACCAGTTGGTGAGTTTGATTTAGATACTGTCATCATTCCACAGACGAAATAATTCCACAGGGACTTCTATTGAATTTCTATTTACATCTCTACAAGATTTTTGAAACTATTTTACTCGACAATATTTTATGTTTTCAACTTTTTCAATTGTAACATTTTCTGTAGCTACTGATATGAATTTTCAAATTTTTTATCACTTCAATAGCGAAAACATCTCAATAGCACAAGTTGTATAGAAACAAGTGAACCATTGCACAGGTGTAATTTTAGTATAGTTCTTTTGCTAATAAGCTAGCAATTTGCTTCCGAATGGATTAATCGAATTAAGGCCCGGGTGTACAATCTTTCGAATATTATCTGGATTTTTTTAATCTTTCGTAATCCAAAATTGTCAATTGAGTGGTACATCATGTAGAAATTCCCAAAAATTATGATAGAATGATAAAAAAAATAGAAAAAATTCTGAACTTTTTCAAAGAGCGTTTTCCATTGAGATTCAGAATGAGTTGAATAAAGTGGAAATTACAAATATCTGATTCGCCAAGATTTGGGTTGCCAAGGTTGACCTTGGCTTGACCTGTTGATGAAACCTTGATTAAAACTTGACGAAACTTTGGTTAAACCCTGATTAAGCCATGATTAACCTTCGACTAAATCCTGATTAAACCCCGGCTAAACAACGACTAAATCCCGCCTAAACCCTGAGTAAACTCTGCTAAATCTCGACGAAGCCCCGACTAACACCAAGACTAAATCCTGACTAAAGTGCGATTAAATCCCGACTAAACCCTGATTAAACCTCAATCAATGCTTTTTCCGGCTGTAATTTCAAAGCAAATGATGCAATCGCAACTATCCTCGAACTCGACCGAGATAACATCCAAACGAATATTTTAAGCCATAATTGAATAGAATTCAACGATTATTTTTCAACTGATCATCGACAAATTAAATTTGAAAAAATAGCTCACACACATACGGACATGATCTAAAAACTGCATATTCGAACTCCTGAGACTAAACGTATTGTATTGACGAATACAATACTTCCATTCGGAAGCAAAACCAAATTCGATTGATTCTTCGATAGAATATTTTCTGTTGAACATTTCTGTCGGAATAAACGCGCAGATGAGCTGCGGAATCTTTTAATATAGTCGGCCAAAATCTAATAGGAAATTCAATAGAAATCCAACAGAATTTTCTAGCCAATTCATTACGTCTTTTCATATTTTTTTTTTGTACGTGTCATGTACAGAACTTCCACGTTTATTCATTGATGTTGAGGTTCATGTGGATTTCATTAGTCTTCAGTCATTAGTTGAAATGAGTCCACCATCTCAAGTCTCATTGGTTACTAACAATACAAAGAAAGTCATTAAAATTATTTTATCTCTTGAATTCCTATTATGAGCAGCTTAAGTGCTTCGTGTAGTACGACTGGATTCATAAACAACACGGTTTCTAATCGTATTCTACGCAGGTATCAAACAATGTCTAATCACTTCAGTAGATGTTATAATCTCGTTATAATGTTATCAGTGTACTCTAATCGTCGTAATAGAGAGATTATTTTAGTGGTAAATAGGACGAGATAATTGCATATGAAAAAAACAAGTTTCAACGAAAATGTGAATGAAAAATAGAATTGTGAAGAAATTTTTGTTCATTATTAGGTGATTATCTCCGTCACGAGTGAATTTAAAGAACAATGTCATAAGAACTTTTTTGTAGAGCATTAAATTTGCTCCCAAAAAGCTGTTGCGACTTTTTTCGATATTTCCACTCGTTGTTGAGATATTTAAACAATTCTAATGAGTGGAAAAATTGATGCAATCAATACCAAAAAAATCTTCAATTTGTTTTTTCATAATTATCGCAGTACCAGTGGGTTTAGAGAAAAATGTCATAGAACATTTTTTGTAGAGAATTAAATTTCCCACAAAAAGTTTAATATGACATTTTCTCGTAAAAATACTCATACTCCAGATAATCGCGAAAAATTGAGCAAGAATTTTTTTTCACTGCAGTAAAAATTAGAAAACATTGTGATTGTCGAAGTGAAACGAAATAACGAATTCTCTGATTAATTTAATCATCTTCGTCAAGGTCTGACGTACGCAGGGACACTGGACGTCGACGAAATACCTCAGGACCACGTCCCCTATCCGCGATAAACGATAATCTCGATCCATTTGGTCTTCTTGGTATTGAACATGCAAAAGACGGTCAGGAGATATCATACGGTCAATTATTGGTGCCTTCCAGGCAGTTTCAGCGTGACAAGAGGCTGCACATCAGCGACAGCGAGGCCATCGAGCTGTCCCACGTCATGACGAATAAACATCACTTGGTATCCAGGTATGATCAACGATTTGTCTGATACGAGTGATTATTTATTCACCTAATCACTAGTGATAAAAATCTTAACTAGACTAGTGCTTTGTTTAATTGTTACTGAGAATATTCCAGACACGTTTCGATTATTTTTTTACAGGACAAAAACAATAACGTGGAATCTGGATCACACAAAGTGGTAACCAAATGCTATTTTCCAAAATGGGAAAATTATTTTTGCAATTTTTTCACTGACTTCTCTCACATTTGTTTGATTGCTCGTTTGGAACGATTTTTTTGGCTCTTATTTCTTATTTTTCTGCATGAGGTTTATCTTCTGAGTGATATTCATCATATGCTTTTGTCAGGTTGTTAATGGGCGCTGATAACAGATTATTTTTATCAATTTTAGTATTGAAAATTGACGGTTGGGGGAGAGTGATGAAAAGAGGTGATTGTAGATTGAGGATATCCTGGGGACTAATGGGTTTCGGAGAAAATGTTATGCAAAGTTGTTGTAGCTTTTGAAATTCTCTACAAAAATGTATTGTGACATTTTCTCCTGAAGTCATTTTTTACTGAGATAATCACTTTCTAAAAATATTTTTCAATCGACAAATTTTTTATAGATTTTTTTTAATCGTCAATATCTCCTGACCTAACGATACAATTTTGATTAGTCTGGGCTCATTTTGAAGCCCGAAAGAATACCTTCAAAATAAATAAAAATCGAGCGATTTCACTCAGGCGATCCCGAGTTATTGACGATGAAAACCGGTGCATTTTATCCCAGTCTTTTTCTCATCAATCATTTCATTATTTTCAATTATCTCGATAATGACAGGTTTTAAGCGAAAATGTCGCTCTACCTTTTTTGCAGAGAATTCAATTTCCTACGAAAAATGTTTTATGACATTTCGCCGTAAACGTCGTCCCTTCTGAAATATTTGGAGAATAAGAGAAATTCATTCGGAGCTTTTCTCTCCTGTCATCACTTTCCTGCAGAATCAATCAGTTTTTAACATGTGGATTTCATGGGAATTTATTTGGCAAATGGAAAAAATGCATTGTTGATGGTTGCCTCGGTTTTACCACGGAAATACGAGTCTCATGTGAGGCTATCTGTTTCAGGTGTCTCTCTTATGACACTGCGACTCACAGGCCGGCTCATGTACCTCCGGATTCTCCGCCTTTATCACTGGTCAATGAGTCGAAAGGTGAAATTACAATATCTGAATTATTCTATAGAATTTTTGGTTTTTTATTTCAATTTTTTTCAATTTTTTCGGGACAATTTGACTCATTAATTTTAATAATCAATTATTAAATGATTTTATTAATTGGTTGGTTAAAATTAATTAATTGATAATTAATTCATTAATTAATCAATTAATCAATCGATTACTTAATTGATTGGTTAATTAATTGATGAATCAATTAATCAACTGATTAATTAATTAATTAATTAAACGTCAGATTAGTTACAATCAATTTTATTATTTCCAACAAAACTACTGTGATAACAGAAAAAATTTGAGTATCAAATGCAATTAATAATTAAATGAGTTGATTAACTGATAGATTTAAAATTAATTAATCAATCATTCGATTAGTTATCGAGTGGGATGAGCAGAGTCTACAGTATAATCCAAATTTGCTGGACGATCCTGAATTAATTGCTGGGAAACATCGGACTCTGTTGACATTTACTTCATACATGGTGAGAGAAAATTAATTTATTATTGATTTGGTCTAATTATGGGATCAACGAGTCCCCTTCAATGGGGGACAGCAATGACATTTTCCTTCCCCTCAATTTTCATTGTTCCACTGATTTTCTGTTGAGAGTCAAATGATACAATCGCTTGGGGTGGATTGACACGAGGAAAATGTCAATTCAATTTTTTCTTCACGCATAATTGTGGAAAAATTGCTGACGACGCTCTTGAATTTTTCAGGCATCCGTTATTGATTACGTGCGACCTTCAGACTTGAAGAAGGAGTTGAATGACAAGTTTAAAGAGAAATTCCCACACATTCAGCTGACGCTCAGCAAATTGCGAAGGTAAGTCTACTTTTTAAATTTTTTCCACATTTTTCATTTAATTTTGATCAAAAAATAATGATTCCATAATCAATTTAATGACTCCATTCTTCCGTTACTCAAAAAAAATATTTTCAAGTTTTTGTATCGAAAGACTAGATGTTTATGCTTAATATTAGTATTTTATTAATCAAACTGAATGAATTTTGAAAGACATTTGTTCATGTTGTATTTTTATTTCAGTATAAAAAGAGAAATGCGAAAAATAGCAAAGATGGAATACGGCATTGACATTCTTACAGTAGCAATGGCATACGTTTACTTTGAAAAACTGATACTGCTAAATGTCGTAACAAAGCAAACCCGTAAACTCTGCGCCGGTGCTTGTTTACTCCTGGCTGCCAAGCTCAATGACGTCAAAGGAGATGTACTTAAATCGCTTATTGAGGTGAGCCCCTGATATCAAATGATCCCCATGTGATCCTTAACATGACAAAGGTGATTTATTTTGTCAAATGTCGACTTCAATTGCTTTTACACCTGCGTCTCAGTACAAACACTGGAATTACCTTAGAAACGATTATTTAATAGTACATTACAGGCTGTTGCGTATACTATTTTATATGATAAGTGCGTGATGAAGTTCGGGGGCGGGGGGGGGTCTCGTGGGGGGCTTCGCCCCCCAAAATGAAAAAAAAAATAATTTCGCACACAACATGAAGAGTCATTCTGTCTTTGAAATTGGCTCATGGCAATGCCATATTATTTTAATAATCTCGAATTAAATTCCTGGAGTAAAAATTTCCCCACCAGAAATATACGAATTATTTTTCTTCGTTCCAGAGAACAGAAAGTGTTTTCCGTCTAAATCGCAAGGACCTAATCACCTCAGAATTCGCAGTGCTTGTTGCCCTTGAATTTGGTCTCCACTTACCCACATGGGAGATATTCCCCCACTACCAGCGTCTCATCTACGAGTCTTGACCCATCATCGGCATGACGTACTTATTAAATTGCAGGAAATTTTCCTTTTAATGTTAATCAACGATAAAAGATATCGCCCCGGCCCAATGTACCTTAAGAAACATCAAAATACCTTCGAATAACATTATTTTCCCCGATAAGTAATACCTAAGATATCCCAATTCGAGTATTTTCTCAGTAAGAAATATTTGGATATCAAAGACTAACATTTAGTGACTTCTTAAACTTTTCAGAGTTTTATAAAGCCATTTTATCTGTGCTATAATTATCATTGAACCGAGAGGATGAGTCATGTAGGTCAAGATAAAACTAGACTTTAATCACTTTCATAAACAAGATGAAGAGAACACATTGTTTTTCTACTTGACTATGATTATCTGTTTTTTACTTTTTGTGAATATTCGCTCAATTGTGGTTTTATCGATTAACTTTCACTGTTGATTTTTTATTCAATATTTTTGTCACGTAACTCATCAGATATTCTTTCCATTTTCAATCATGAGAATTGATTTTTTACGAAATCTTTATTGATAATTGATTATCAGATCGTTTCTCATTCCAATAAAATTCAACAATGAATTAAGATTATATTACTTTCAAAGGCTCATGGTACTTGTTTTTTTTTTAATATTACGTCGTAGTCTAAGTCGATCCATAAAGGCATATATTTTTTGTATATACACTGTTGCCAGATGTACATTAATCCCCTAAGGGGTAAAGGAGCATGTGAAATGAGGGTATGGTGTTATGTGTGATCATAAATATGATATATTACTTTTAATCATTGACTTGTGATTGAAATTTTACCTGAATTAAACGTTTTTATTCTTTATTTTGATCTTCAACGTCTAATCATTTAATCAAAGTACCACTGTTGCTATTATCGTTTCACCACAATCATCAGTCAAAGATGGAAGGTGTAATTAGGATTATTTAAACCTGAATTACGTAATTATAAATAATTTAGTGGTAAATTACTGCGGTGTACCGATGCTAGTCTGTTGATGCCGTTTATTGAATTATTTGATTAATTATCTATATAGTCTATGAATAAAATATACATGTTACAGAAGAATTATTATGTAGTACTTAACCGAATGTACATGGACTATTGATACTTGTATATGCCATATAAATGCAAAATTATGAATAAATCAGATTCGAGTAAAAATAATTTGAATTTATTTAAGCCGATGTGGAGAGCTATTTTATCGATGCGATGCTGTCACTTTCGATTGATTCTAATCCCTCATGACGTCATTGGTGAATGGGTTTAGGTGTGAATGAAGATAAAAATAACATCGTAATGTGTCAATGATCTATTTTCGAGAGGTTCATAATTGTTTTTTTCCACTCATCATCTATTTATAAAATACGGATGATTGATCGGCGGAGAAATCAGTTTTAAATCTAATGATAATTATCATATCTTCATCAAGTTAGCGGCACAATGTTGACAATCCGCCATTTTTTGCCTTGAAGTATAGGCTGCTTAGGTTTTTTTTTCCTGCTTCTGCAGACTTATTAATTTGTCTGACGTATCATTCATTTCGGTGGCAATTTGACGAGTGTCGAGTATTTTTTTCTTCAAATCCCCTGGCGGATCCCCCGATTGAGATTCGATCGACTGTCGATTGTAGAATCGAGTTGATCAGTATATCGATTCGTATGCGAGTGTAGTTCGATTCAGGTCTCAGATTATTGATGGAATCGAAGATGAATCGACTTCATAGGAAGTCGATAGCTAGTGAATTTTGAATGACAAAAATTTATTTTGCTCGATTTTTATTTATTCGATTATGAAAGACTCCTTACGGTCGGACCAGGATCGACTTAAAAAAAGTCGATTGTGACGCGATTGTCCTCATTATTCAAGTCAATCGACCCATAATCGACAAGTTATTTAGTCGTTTCATATTAGTTTCTTATACTTAGTAAATGAATCGACTCGCTGCCAAGTCGATGGTAGCTCGATTGTCCTCATTATTCAAGTCAATCGACCCA